AGATACTTGTGTTATAAAGACGCTACATGTTATAAACTACTATAGAGTCTAAAAAAACACACCACACTTAATCAGCACAAAGCAGTGATAACATGCACACCTAATTCAGTGCCTCAAAGACGCATCTTGGCTTTTACTCTCACCCTGTCCCTAACACTTGCAAGATTAACCATTGCACAGCTTCATCCTCACTATCTTTCACATTTTACTTTGCCACAACTGCTAGATAGGACTTGGGTGCTATCAAGTTGTGATCAGTGCCTCTAAACTGTCCATCACATCTTGTCTGAGGTAGATTCTAAACTCTTTGGGATAGCTGCAACTTTTTTACAGCTGCTTTCTGTAGTGCCTAGCCTTGCTCTGATGTCCCACAGCAAACGTGTTCCCAAGAACTGTAATACAAATAAATCACAATATACCTGCTCAAAAGTTGAGGAAGGCTGGAAATAATGGGTCCATATCCTGGTGCATTGTCATAGAGCTCAAACAATGGTGCAGCAACCAGCTTGTAATTTTTTGGGACTGCAAACAAAGCTAAAAACAAATCCAAGTTGATTGATAAGAAAAACCAGCACATGTTCAGCCAAGGTATCACCGCCCCCCACACACCTCAAATCAAGATCACTATGTATAGCACTATAGTACTAGAGTAGGTTTATTCCTTTTCTAGTTAAATATGGGGTTCATATGCTGTACATATACTGATGCAGGAGCAGGAGAACTAATTTTCAAAGGACCTTCAAAACTAATACCAGCGTTTAACTCTTTTAGTGATCAACTATAAACAACTGCAAGCATATGAAAACAAACTTGCTACCACATTTCCTTGCATGAAATGCAAGCATTTAGACATTGTTATAAATACAATCCTTTGCTGCAAACACTTACCCTTTTCTTGAAGCTGGACCAAGAAAAGCTTTTTGTGCTCTTTTGGTTTTGTAATATGAGCTGGGATATAGGGATACTGGAAGAAAAACAAAAAAAATTGGTCGTACAGAGCTTTGAAAGCATTGTGCAATCTTAAGTGCTACTTTATAAATTATCAAGCACTGTGCAAGTTTTCAACGTGTCATATATTGTTCTTTCATGGCATCAAATAATGAAAACCACTTTTATAAGAAAGTACTCAGAAAGGAATGCTGTTGCTATCACAATTATTGACAGGATCTAAAGAGGCACCAGTACTCGCGAGCAGTTAAAACAACCCAACAAGACAGAAATGTGTAACAGCAAACTGACCAAGTATTTTCAGTATTAAAGCATTTAGAAATAGGGCAGCAAGACTATTTTATTCACAGGGCATCTGTTCCATATGAGAATTGCAAGAGTTTCCATTGTGGCTAAAAGAGGAATTTAAATGGTGTGTCTGGCTCAGCACAGGACTGGAAGCTATTACATCCAGTGGTTTCTCATCCATCAGGACGGGTGTGAGGAGGAAGAGGGGAGTTTCCAGAAGAAAAAGTTTGTAGTTTCTCCCCAGCCACAGAAAGGAGATGAAACAGGTAAAACCCAGAAACACTAATTGCTCATGCAGCAGGTACGCAAAAAGCCCAACTGGTAGGTTGAAGGCTTTTGGAAGAACAACCAATACTTGACCGAAGAAGATGAAAGTCAACATGAGTACTCACCTGTGGAGGTTCAAAGTTCGGTCTCCACCAGTTACCAATGCAGTCATCAATCACCCAGTCTTGCTGAACACCGTCCTGACGACCCAGTATCTACCAAACATCCAGTTACAGTCAAAACTCTAAATACCCCAAGTCAATTTTTTTAGAAAACATACACTGGAAGCATGAAGACTTGCTGTAATAAGGGTCTGATGTAGTTCAGAACTGCTCTGGAACAGCTTTTAATAGCATTTTAGAGTATTTTTGTATGAAGTGACATTTTTTAGTAAAAGCCTCCCCTGACAGGACAAGGACACTTTAGAGAGCATTTCAAATTCCATGCTGTGTTGAGTTGAACTGAGTCCCATCAGACCAATGGGAAGAATGAAATGCATTGTTACACTACCTGACAGAATTAATTTAGGTTACTTGGAGAGCATGGAAGGTTAACTGGTGCATTGGGAAGACTATCTCAAAAACAAGTCCTCGTCAGTTGTGCTCCACAACATATTTTATTGCCCATCTGCATGCTCACTTGCCTGAAGCCAGCCAAAAAGCAAAGCTGCAAATGAACATAGGACTTGAGCAGCAGGTATGGTGTCAGCCACTAGACCACTCTGTCACACTCTCACAATGCAGACAAATGAAAACTTACTGCTTGATTTGCTAACTACCTGAGAACATCACAAAAGCATCAAAATAAACAGAAGTGATAAGAAGACTAATGCTTTGGCTTATTCTGTTAACTCTAAAATAATCCAACATTCTGATATAGCAACATAACAAAAGAAAACAGACCTCTGTCATTAAGCGTTTGAGCCCTTCTACCTCATCTTCTCCTGGATTGAGTTCACCACCAGGTCTGTTAAAATAATCAATGATGAAAGCTAAAGTTATGTTTTATTGCATTTACCAACTTTCACATGTAAGTTCGGATGTGCTTCCAGGCGGGGAGTTACAAATTCAGTCAAGGCCCTTAGGTCAGAAGTTCCAAATCTAACATTGCTGAATTTGAAGACAGTAGGATAGCTTTCACCAATACTGTGACTAAAATGGCTACTGTATGTCCCTCAAAAAAAAAAACCTATTATATAAAATACTTTCA